AAGTTGTCTCGATGACCAACAATGCCTTCTCCAAGAACTTTTGTGGTGCCTCACTTCCTACAGACTTCTTGCTAAGTTTCCAGCCATTATTATCTCTCTTCCCATACCACTTGTTCTTCATATGACCCTCTAAAGTGGTGCCCAAGTTCTGTCTATAGACCTCTTTCTTTGCCTGACTCATCAACGTCGTGTGTTCAGTTGTCTCTAGATGTGATGCTTCCCATCTCTTTCCTTATCTCACACACTTGACTGATCCTAGACAACACTGTCTGCTAACCACAGGGTACCCATGGATGTCTCTAGCTCATCCTCTCCCAATTTATAATCTGTTTCCTACAACTTGCCTCTTTTAGCACTACTTACCTAAATACATGGCTGGGCTGGACATTGTGTGTTACATATCATGAATCTATATGCATCTGTTTTATCTTTTTCTTGTGACAGAATTAAGTCCATCGTCAGATCCTGTCTCATCTTCTCCCTTCATAGCATTTAAATTTTACTTTACTCTCTTTCCCTACTGCTACTCTCTGAGATTTTTTTAAATTATCATCTCTCTCCTGTTGTGGTAGGCTAACACTAAACTGTTTCTCTCCTAGACATGCATGGCATCTTCTACCTGGTCTCTGTCCCTTGACCTCCTTTTGTCACTAGAGTGCTCTGGCAGTGAGAAAGTCTGAGCACATCACTTCATTGCTCAAGTCCCTTCAAAGTCTACCCCCATCCTCCAGATAAGACTCTGGCTCCACCATAGTTGAAGAGCCTGAAGGCCAGATGACCACTGACCTCCCACCTTGCCTTCTCCGAGCTTGTATCCTCTGTTTCGTGATGTGCTTTCATTTTGTCAGCGCTCCTCCCTGACCTAGGAATTAAACTCAGGCCCTTCTTCTACCTTTCTGTCTACCTCATCTTTCCATAAAGCTACTTCCATCCAGGTAAAGTGAGGTACTGGACCCCCTGACCTCCACAGTCCTCCATGGAAGATCTACAGTCTAATGACTCCTTTATGTTCCTATGAAGGCTTCTCTGGAGGCTTGAACTTTTAGCATCACAATGTTATTATTTTCTCTAAACTCAACATTCTGATTGGTGTCACTCATTAACTGTTTGCAAACATATTTATTATGCCATAGAAACATTAACAATTCTCAGTTATATAAAATACAACTAAGTTTAAAATTATATAAAAATTTTAAAGAAGTTGACAAGAAATTCTTTTTGATGATTTAGAAACTCAAAGACAATGCCAGACACTGATTATCTTTCTGTGATGCTACCCACGGTATGTTTGGTTTCATCTTTCAGGTAACTGACATCATAGTTGCATGATGATGAAGCTTCTCTGACCATCACATCTGAATCTGACAAAATATTATCTGAAGAATAAAGAATCTTTTCCCAGAGGTCACCTAATACAGCAGTTCTCAACCTGTGTTATGACCCCTTTGTGTATATTTATAAGATTTGAAATGTGTACGCTGTGTACATATGTGGAGTGTCTGTGTATACTTAAGCGTAGGATTGGGCAGTACCGAAAAAAAAAAAAACAGTTGAATAGGGAAACTACAGCCAGGTGGTAGTGGACTTCTATGAATGCCAAGAAATTTGGACTTTACCCTATATTAGATGTGGTGAGAAATACCAAGTGTTTGAAGTAAGGATGTAGATTATCGGACCGAGATAAGTGTTGGTAATGTTGTTGGTGACGAGAGCAATAAACTGAAAGGACAAGGAACAAAGTGGGAAAGCCACTTTCAAAGTTACAGACGTTCTGACACAAGAAGATGAGTGCTTGAAGTAGGTCGTGGCAGAGGTTGCATCCATCGGTAGGAAAAACTGGCAGAATCTGGACTGTGAGTGTGAGATGGAAATCATGAGGAACATTCCCAGCCTCCCTGCTTGCATGGCACACTGCCTGTAAGCCACAGTGAACTGTAAAGGGGAGATCCTGGAAGGCGGGCAGTGGATTCAGCTCAGAAAGCATCGAGTCTGGCTTGTTCACCGGACACCTCTGTGTGGAAATTTGGTGTTTTGAACTCAAGAGGTGAATGAGGCCAGAGATCCTGCCTTGGGGAAGGAGCTTGGTTCAGAAGCACCTTTAGAATGAAGAGGGAGATGCAGGATGGAGCTCTGCAAACAGTGTCTAGCAATAAGTAGGAGATGGGCCTCCAAAGGAGGTTAAATGAGGCTGAAGAGAGGAGACAACAAAAAGAGAGTACAAGCGAAGAGCAGGCGCATTTCATGAGGAAATGAAAAGCTAAAAGGAAGACTGCTTACCGTGAGGGAAATCTATTGACGAGTTTACAGGCAAAGGAGAGTAACACAGGGAGAGGAGAGAGAGAGAGAGAGAGAGAGAGAGAGAGACAGAGACAGAGACAGAGACAGAGAGAGACAGAGAGACAGAGAGAGACAGAGAGAGACAGAGAGAGACAGAGAGAGAGACAGACACAGAGACAGACACAGAGACAGACACAGAGACAGAGAGACACAGAGACAGAGACAGAGAGACAGAGAGAGAGAGGGAGAGAGAGAGAGAGACAGAGACAGAGACACAGAGACAGAGACACAGAGACAGAGACACAGAGACAGAGACACAGAGACAGAGACACAGAGACAGTGACAGAGAGAGTTGACAGCTCAGAAGGGAGTTAAGAAGCAGTGTGATCCAGAATCCACATGGAGGATTCCTCAGCCCCTGAGCCCACTGGAGATTGTGTGACTTCACTCATGTTGAGGAGATGATTTCCTCTCTGGATGTGTACTTAATTTACAGATTATCCACAAGTTTTGTGATCTGTCTTTTCCACCCTGACTGCCCATGGAAAATGAAAAGTGATGAAAATGGAACAAAACTGAGTATTTGTTCCTTTATCCACTGTGAGAAGGGTTATGGAAAACAAGTGTGGAATCTAAGTGTTAAAATGAGATCCAAGATGAACTTCCTTCTAATGTGTTCTGCCTGTGTGCTGTAGAAAATGTAAGAATTTAAAGCACACATTCATGCAGACCTTTACATTTCTAACTTTTGTATGTATTTGCATCACAATTGTGCATGCCCATGATCTATAAAGAATAATACATGTGTCTGTTTAGTGCTAAGTAATGTTGAAAAATGTTTATATAGCTAGGGTAAAACAAAAATGTGAAGTACTGGCCGGGCGGTGGTGGCGCACGCCTTTAATCCCAGCACTCGGGAGGCACAGGCAGGCGGATCTCTGTGAGTTCGAGGCCGGGCTGGACCGATAGCCTCCAAAACAATACAGAGAAACCCTGTCTCGTAAAAACCAAAAAAAAAAAATGTGAAGTACTGCTGGCCTACAGCTTTAGACTAAATGTCAGCCTTACATATCCAAGACCTTGAAAATCACACTACCTGCCTACAAATCTCAATTGCCCTCTCAAATGGCAAAATTGAATTACATGAATAAAATTGAGAGAAAATGTGTTCCTTGGATATAAATAACTAACTCAGAAGGAGGGAATAAATACCTGGAGCAGTTTTTACAGATGTCATATAAACCCCATCTGCTTGCTGACACTGAGTCATCCTTGTTAACTAACTACAGAAGAAAACCCAGTACCTGACTTCATGCCTTTCGGCAACACATTCCACCACAGTCTTCACGGCTCCTCCCAGAACAAGCCTCAACATTTCAAGATTAGAAAATAATGTGCTTCTGGGGCCTCACTGAATAAAATACCAACAATTAAAGGGAGATGAAATGACTGGATTTGTGTTTTCAATGCCTCTTGGGAGAGGTCCGGAGTTGGAATTTCGGAATCCAATGCAGCTGTCTTAAACTCATGGCTAAGAGTTTATGGCCCCTCAAATCAATGTGTGTCCCTAGGACAGAACATATGTGAAGCATGGGGCACCAGGTAGCATCCTAACAACTAATGGTACCCTGCATTTGCTAGAGCATTGGGATTAGAGCATAGTTCTGTCTTCTCTCTGACACACAGGAAATTCCACAAGGCTAACCTGGACTTGTTTTCCTTATCTTAAAGAAAGATTAGCCCCAGAGCAGCACAGTTTAGAGAATGCTTTCCGTTGTAAAAATAATTGACAACTAGTGACCATTAGGCTATTCGGTTAGCAGTTTAAAGTGCAGACACAATTGCTTCCTTCTCCCCCCAACTATCCTAAAATCCTTCATTTTAGGTGCATGCCTGGGTGAGAATAAAGGTGGAAAGAAAGTTCTCCCAAGTCTCCCAAGCAGCCCTCCTTCCTCACTTAGGGCAAAGGAAGTCAGGCCACGCAGTCTAGCTCCAGCTTCAGCGAATCACTTTGTGAAGTCTAAGATGAAGAAAGCAGATAGAAGTGACTTAAGTTTCCTCTCTTTGAAGGACATTACAACAATGAGAGGAAGGCAGGAGAAAAGAAAGAATTTCCCTCTGCCTAGTATTTAAGATGTGTTTGGCTTTCCTGACTCCCGTGAAAAGAAACACCAGCGCTTCTTTCTGAAATAAGAATAGGGGGCAGTGTGCACGACTGTGGGGTGAAAAACACACATCAAGGTTTCCTGTAAAGCCACCCTTTGGGAGCTGCAAGCTTCAGCCCTGCGCTAGATCCCGGGTTCCTGATTCAGGGCTAGCTCAGCACCTGCTGGATCTATAGCAATCTGGGAGATTGGACGCACGGTCTGAGGGTCCCCAAACGTCTGAGTGTGAGAACATCTAAACCCAAAGCGCTTCCAAAGATGAGTTTGAAGGGGGCTTGAGCAGGTGAAGCATGTCTTAATATGGACGTGTGTGTGTGTGTGTGTGTGTGTGTGTGTGTGTGTGTGTGTGTGTGTGTGTGTGTGTGTCCGTCCGTCCGTCTGTCTGTCTGTCTGTCCGTCTGTCTGTCTAAGCGGCTCCAGGCAGCCCGGATCCCGAGTCCACGTGGATGCCGAGCCGACTCTGTCGCTGGCTTTCCAGCTGCACTTGATCCCTCTCTGCTGTCCCAGGACCACTCCCGGTCCCTCCAGCCTCGGAGGCGCATGGGAGTTCAGACTTACCTTGAGCGAGCACTAGCAGCCACAGCAGAAGCGCGCCCCCTGCCTGTCCCGGCTCCATCTTGGGTCTGCTCTGGGAAGTCTAAGGTGCTCTGGGGGTGCACACAGTAGCCCTGGTGGAGGGCTCCCAGAAGTTAGAGACTTTCCAGAAGCTGTCCCCAGGACTTCTCTCCTGGCCTGGATGAGAGCAAGGAAAAGTTGCTTGCTATTACTGAGCTAGGTCCCGCCCCTGCCCGCCCCTCTAGCTTGGGCAAACTCCGGATCTGCCCTGCCACGCCCCACGGAGCCCAGCCCGGCAGCGGCTGCAACTCCTCCAGGGCTCCACACAGCTAGCCACGATCCCGCGACGCCCACCCAGCCCCCGCATCATGCAGGCAGTGGGGATGGGACCACCCGCCTGATGACCTTTCCTGCCCTGTACCAGCCTGTCCTAGCACACCCGACCCAAGAGTGCAAGACCAGCCCCTCCCATTCCACTTTGTCTTTTGTCCACAGGAAATCCCTAGCCAGACCCCCAGGGCAGTTATAGCCCTCTATAGCTCTCAGCAAGAGCCCTGAGTCCTGTTTGCCGCTACGTGCGTGTTCCTCTCTGCTTTTCCTGAGTGGGTGGAGAAAGGGACCGAAATAAGCTCGGAATGACCAGGTTCGACACTAACTCATCAGAAAGAGCTGCTCGCAAGTTGTAATTATCCCCGAGGTACTATTTTTGCATCACAGAGGGGTGTGTCTAGGGGAAGAGAGGTGATCGTTCCTTCTGAGGTGATGAGGGTCGGAGCACCGAGTTTACTGGATTCATTTTAGGACAGGTGAGAAGAGGGAAGAGCTGCTAGTGACCCACAACTCTTCCGCTAGTTATACCATCACCATTTTCCAGTCTTTCAGACTCTGGGAAAAAAACATCATTCTCCATCTGAGTCTTTCACTTCCAAATCCAAGAAATAGAACATCCACTTTTAATTGCCTCTACATCAACGTGTAGCCACAGATTCCCGTACAGTGCTGACACTAGAATTATTGCAGGGACTGCTTTCTCTGAAGCAATCCAAAGGTCTCGTGAATTAAAGAATTCCCTGTCTAATTGCTGTTACTCGCACCATTCAAAATCTTTTGGGAGCGGCCCCTAAGCTGGGTCCATGAAGCAAGCAAGACACTTCCAGGCAGGACAAGTATAACTTACTGTTTATTAAATGGTGGGTCAAGCGGAAGCCTTGAATTCTTTTGTGTGTATGTGACTGTTTGTATAGGTTTGTGTGTGAGCTGCATGTGTTTGTATGGCTGCATATGTACAGAGGCCGGGGGACAAACCTGAGTGTTTCTCTTCAAGAGACATTCACTTTTTCGTGTCGAGACATTCTCTCCCTGGGCTAGATGTTGCCCAGTAGGCTAGACTAGATGATCTGCTAGACCATAACAGTACCAAGTTGACGTTCACTACATGCTAGAACTTATGATTAATACTCTCAACTCAGTGCCTTCGGACTTCTTAGCCTCAGGTTGCTTCCTGTTCTGTCACCTGTCCTCTTTTAGCTTTACTCAGGGGTCCTAGCAGACACTTCTCACCTTGTGGTGTGATGTGCTTAGTAAGCCCCGAGGTGGCTGCTCACTAACCCTGACACACAGCTGGGCAGCTCCCAGCCTCCTGGTGGGAAGCCTGCCAGGTTTCAGGGAGATGGCTATCTGTCTGTTTCCTTCTGACTCACTGAATGCAAGTTCTGTTTGGAGCAGACTCTAGTTTGGGAAGTAGGATAGCCCTTTCAATGTGCTTTGTTTGTCTCAGTTGGGGAGATGAAAGTGCATTTTGGGGGGCTGTTGCTCTTAGAACAGGACAAACAAGCACCATGCTGCTTTGGAGGCAGAACCGATGAGGAGCTGTATTTTTTTTTCAGAGCAGGCAAAAAAACGTTAGGAAGCAAAGGGCAAGTTTAACCAGCATGAACTGGCTGAGACAACATCATTTCCAAAGTCTTACCTCACAGCCTCACAGGGACCTTCCTTGCTTGGGTTAGTTAGTTCGGAAGCCACACTCACTTCAGGAAATAAGGCAAAGGCTGAGCTTTGCCACTGTGGCCTCAGCATCCTTTTATGCCCTTCAAACTATTAAAGAACTTTTGTTTTTTAATACATTTACCATATAAAATATTAAAACAGAGCATCTTCAGATATTTGTATATTAATTTTTAATACCAGGAACCATTCCATATTTACATAAATGCCATATATTCAAGTTAGTAACCTTTTTCTGATGTAAATCAACCTATGAAAGGAGTAGCATTGCTTTTCATTTTTGTTAATTGTTCCAACATCTGGTTTAAATATGTTAATTCTCATATCTGGCTTGGCATGTGATCCTGTCACTGTATGTCCTTTGAGTTAAACTATCAGGATTAATGTGTTGTCACACAGATGTGTAGTTTCTAAACCTGTGACTATTTTAGATAATCTTCTAATGTATCATCAAAATTCAATAAACAGTAATTTCTTTTTTTCTCCTGGTTCTTATCTTTTTATTTAACTTGTTTCCTGGTTCGTTGAAGCAATCAACAGGAGACTACTTGCCACAGTAATGTCTGTCAACATAGATGGCTATAAAAATCATAGCACCACATTCTTCAAAGGATACTCTTGATGGAGGTGACCGAGGTCACCATTTTCATCTACTCCACAGTATTTCAGGACATCCAGTTTATCTTCTGTTTATTCTTCTTGGGAGTGGTGTAAAACTCCGGAAATATCAGCAGAATATGAAGGGGGGTTCCTTTTGAGGGTAGTCAGAAGAAATACAACCATCTTCCAGCTGCTTACCAGCAAAGACAAAGCTTTGATGATGGGGGGACCCTTCCTCATCCTGAATCTTAGCCTTTCCATATTCGATAGTGCCAAAGAGCTCAGCCTTGAGAGTGATGGCCTTCCTAGTAAAGGGTCTTTAAGAAAACCTTCATCTTCCAGAGCAGATGGATGGTTAGAAAAAAGAAAATCAAGTTTCCTAAAAGCTTGTTAAGAAATCTGAAAAATACTGAAGCATTTTCTTATTCTACAGCGTTATGCTTCCCTCCGTATTAATTAACTATCACTCTACATTTGTCTTATGCAGTCAGAGAAAACAACAACACAGTGGCAAGGGCAACCGATGCCTCAGCGTTCCTGTGAAAATAATTTTGGCATCACTGAGCTCTTGGAAGAGTCTTTGGACACTGAGGTTGGTCATGGCTGGAAGAAGTTTTCCTATTTTTTTTCTTCCCTCAGAGCTAGGCCAGATTCTTTCTTCCTTCCTTCCTTCCTTCCTTCCTTCCTTCCTTCCTTCCTTCCTTTCTTCCTTTATTTTGATAAGCAAGTGGAGGCAGAAGTTTCCCATGTTCCTTTCTGATCTCTTCTTGCTTCTTGTTCATCTTGCTTATTTCATTCCTATACAACTACCATTCTAGAAACCTCTGCTCTCCTTTTTCAGGGCTACCACCCAGATACCTTGCTTCCAAACTAACTGTATGCCCTGCGCTATCTGAGCCTCTTTCTGTTGCTGCTTGTAAGATTTCTCACCGGATGACAGGGGTGGTGATTTGAATGAACATAGGCCCCACAAGCTCATATATCTAATGCTTAGTCACCAGGAAGTGGAACAGTTTGAGATTAGAAGGATTAGGAGGTGTGGCCTTGTTGGAGTAGGAAGTATGTCTCTAGGGTGGGCTTTGAAGTTTCAAAAGCCCTCACAAGACCTGATGCATGAATAGCAGGATATAGCTCTCAGCTTCTTCTCTAGCACTATATCTATATCTGCCTGTCTGCCCTCATGCTGTCCATTATAACTCTCTGAACTATAAGCAAGCCTCCAATTAAATGTTTTCTTTTGTAAGTTGCTTTGGTCATAGTGTCTCTTCATAGCAACAGGACAGTACCCAAGACAACAGTCTTCTACATAATCTGTATTTCCTCCTCTTATCTTCAATCTTCACTTATATGTATAATTATAGTTTTCTTTCTGAGATGTGAGCTTGATTGTTATAAATATTCAGATATTGAGCTGGGGAGATATCTCAGCAGGCAAACACAAGGACATGAGTTTGGATTCCCTAGCACCTGCCTACAAATCAAGAGTGGCAGCGTGAATCTGTAAGCCCAGCGCTACAAGTAGAGACAGGCAGATCACAAGGGCTCAGTGGCCAGTCAAAGTGGTAAGTTTCAAATTCAGTGAGAAACCATTTCTCAAAATTGAAGAGCAGCATTAATAGACTCAAGTACAGAAACTACATGAATGATCATCCCATTAGATTAAAAAAAACAATACTTTTTCCTTTGTTTATTTTTTTGAGACAGGGTTTCTCTGATTGTTTTGGAGGCTGTCCAGGAACTCACTCTGTAGACTAGGCTGGCCTCAAAATCACAGAGATCTGCCTGCCTCTGCCTCCTGACTGCTGGGATTAAAGGTGTGGGCCACCAATGCCCGACTAAAAAAACAAGCTTTAAACAAAATGCAAAATCCCTACTTGACAAAAGTCCAGGAAAATCTTCAGATGCAGGGAACATATATCAACATAGGAAAGGCAATATACAATAAGCCCACAGCCAAAATCATGAAAAATGAAGGAAAAACTCAAGGCATGTGTACCAAAATCAGGAACATTTCCTCCACTCCTGTTCAACACAGTGCTTGAATTATTGCCTAAAGCAACCAGGGAAGAAAAAAAGGTAAAGGGGATATAAATGGGAAAGGGAGATGTCAAAACACCATTTCTAGATGATACGATAAAAGACCCCATGGTTTTTTTATTGACTAGAAGTCTCACACAACTGATAAACATATTCAGCAAAGTAGCAGGATACAATGTCAGGAGACTTCCTGTACACCAGTGACACACATACTGAGAGATAAATCAGGGAAGTAATTCCATTCAAATAGCATCAGGGGGAAAAAGAGGAATGAATTTAACAGAGGAAATGAAATACTTGTGCAATGAAAACTAAGACACTGAAGAAAGCAACTGAAAAAGACACCAGAAGATGGAATGGTCTCCCATAATCATGGATAGGTAGGATTAATGTCACCACAATGACTGCCTTACCTAAAGCAATGGACAGATTCAATGCAACCCCCAGTCAGATTCCAAAGACATTATTCACAGAAGGTGAAAAACTAGCCTTGGAATTCTTGTGGAAATAAAAAAGACTCAGAATTGTCCAAAACAATCCTGAACAATAAGAACA